CTGATGTCACTGGAAGTTTTCAGTGGAAATATTTCCTGTTCAAGCGGATTACATTTAAAACACTCTTAGGGACAGAAAACATATGTTCTTATCCATGTTCTCATACCACATTTTCTAGAGCATAAAAGCATCTATGAGCAATGAAAGCGAGAAGAAATGCTGAGAAGTTACCAGTGTTTTCCCTTTGTAACAAATAAACCCTAACATACCAAAATAAAGGTCTGTGCAAATGCAACACATATTTAAAGTGGACCTGTAATGCAGCATTCAAAGTCTTCTCATTTACTCGGGGCAATCTGTGAGCTACTCCAGAGGTTTCTCTTCAATTGCTGGTGGTTCTGGGGGACAGGAAGTTAGAGGAAATCTCGGCAGTGGGTCACAGATGTAAACGGTCTTAGACTGTAAACTCTAACCAGCAGGGCCCTTCTAATCCTCTTCTATGGAATTGTATTGCAACTGTACTGGCTTTCCATTTTTTGTAAAATGCTGCACAAACTGTTGGCACTATATAAATCCTATATTATAACAATAATAGACACCAGAACATGTGTTCCCTTTCGAAAATGTCCCCTCTATTTCTATTCTGGTGTTAAGTCTAAATTTTTTATGTTCCCTCACTTTCAGTCCCAGTGACAATGGTCATTAGGACAAAGAGAGAGGGTGACTTTGTCCAGTGAAGGCATAGCAGAGGCTCTAACGGTTTCCTACTTACCTCATTATTACCCTTTCCTACCCATATCTAAAACCAACATATATTTGGCAAAATGCCGAAAGTGCCATCTTACAGCTGAAATAATGGTGCATCCATGCTTTCTATCCTCCCCGCCGGGAGCTGCTCTGACACAGCGCAGTGTCCAGCAGGGAGGAGAGAAACGGTCACAGGAGGATGAGCGGTGCGGGGGAGCGCTTTGAGTGGCCGGCGTCTCTCTTCCTGCACTGCTCAGCCTCCTGTCACAGATCAGGAGAGCGGTGTGGGGTCGGAGACAGCTGCAAGCTGTCACGGGAGGCCGGGCCGGCGGTGCACGGGAGGAGTCAGCAGACAGAGATTGAGTTCTCCTCCCCATCACTCATTCAGCCTCCTGTGACAACCGATCCAGGAAGGTGAGCGGTACAAGCAGTCAGAGATCAGTGATCGCTGTCTGTTTGTAAATAATTGAGGACAGAGTATGTTTACTGTGTCCTCAATTATGAATGAATGGGAAGTGATCTACATCACTTCCTGTTCATTCATGATTGTGGACATGGTAAACATACTATATCCACAAGTTATGAATGAACAGGATAGAGGATTCCTGTTCATTTATAACAGGGGCTGCAGAAAAAGAGATTGCAGACTCAATCTCTTTTTCTATTGTAAAAGGGAAATATCAGGGGTCTGTTTAATATATAACATACATACACACACACACACTTATATATGCACAAGCAGGCAAGCATATTTGCTCATTACAAACTCACTGCAGGCTCTGCACACTACTTTGTTGTTCTACACAATGGTTGAGTTTTACTGCTCCTTCTCACAACGCCATTCAACTTGTTAAATATAAAATGCTTCCCATGCAGTTTACGGAGCCACTAAAAGCTCCATCTGGTGGCTAAAAAAATAAATACCTAAAAACATTGCAAAAATTACTCAAACATGTTCTCACTGAAAACAATATTTTTCTTTGGCTCCAAGTACTAATGTACAATCAGCTTTAAATATAAGTGCCATGACCTTATTGCAAACTTAAATACAGAGTTAGAGCACATATACACGAGTGAACCATTTATGTTGGTTCTACTGCAAATATCTACAGCAGTGGTGATAGCCAAAGTGAGCTAGACCTCCGTGCACAAAAGTTATGTAATAGTGCAAAATACTGTAGTGTACATACTCCACAGTGGGTAAATAAGAAGAAAATGGCTGTCATTATATGCAGTGGCCAAAAATAAAAATATTTTCAATTTGTTATGGTAATTTGCTTTAAAGATATTACATGCTGATTGAATGCTCTTTATAAACTAGAACAGTCTAGAAAAATATTTATACAATCTAACTCTGCATGATAACATGAAACAATAAAGAATGGCATTTAGATAGGAAACCAGTAAGCAAGTAAAATTCAAGATGCAGGCCAATACAGTGTACAATAAGGAATATCTGACATTGATGCATGCAGTATTTGCACATGAAAAAAATACACAGATAAAACTGATCATATCCATTTTATATTAAAATAAAACTGTCCTCTTTAAAGTTGATTAAAATAATACTTCTAAAGATAATCATACTTAAAATGAATTGAAACTTCCAAAATAAAAATGATCAAGTAATTCCATTGTTTGGTAACACTGCCCTCTACTGGATACATCATTCATAAACACACCATCATTTAAAAAAAAAAAAGCTTTACAGAGCTTGGTAAGGAGCATGGAGAGGAAAGATGCCCTTAGCAATAACTGTTTATAGTCAACAATAGGAATGAGCTTTGGGTTCAGGTCAAACGGATGTATTTATTTTAAATAAAGGATTTTTACTATGGTGTGCATTTGTTTTATTTACTTTTTAATTATTTTTTGTGAATAAGTAACAAGAGGTATGATGTACTCCTTCACGTGGGGTTGGTTATCTGGAGATTCAGATAGGTCCCCGTAGACTCCCACATCAACCGGGTCAATAGTGTGGAGATAAGGCCCTTGTTTCGCTGCCCCCCTTCCCCATCAAAGTACCCTCTCATTGATGGCACATGCCTAGTATAGTGCAGGAGGGTGAGGGGTTGAACGCTCTTTGCCCCCCATCCCTCTTTCCTGGCCGGCTAGACTGCATGCCCAAAGAAAGGTCTGTTATAGATAAAAGTCTGGTATTGAATTTGAGAGGGGTCCCACCCTTTTTTTTTTGCTTGCTGTCTCCTCCTTCCCTGGGCACCTAAACTGCATGCCTGGATAAGAGTATGGTATAGATTTTGAGGGAGGCCCCATGCAAAAAAAAAAAGTGTGGGAATCACCTTCAAAAGCCATACCAGACCTTTATCTATAACAGACCCTTATCTGGAGTCCTTATCCGGGTGTGCAGCCTGGCTGGCTAGGAAAGGCAGGAGCGACGATTGTGTGGGTTTCTCTCTCCTAAACCATACCAGGCCACCTGCCCTCAACACACAGACACTGAGAACAAGTCCTTTCTTAAGTTATTGCCCCCATATATAAATTCAACACCAATCAAGATGTAGATCTAATGCCAATCATGATCACGCCACCATGACCCACCAGTACTCTTCTCCTGTTGCAAATGACAGCTCCCTGGCCAGCTCCTGAATGTTAACAAGCTAGCTGGGGATCCCAGTTGACATCATTGACCAACTAGCTAGCATTTAAGCCAGATCAGATTGTGAAACAGATCTAACAAATTTTTGGTGGAGAGAATATAGGGAGAGAGAGTATCGAGAAAAACTGCCTGGTTTGTCCTTGAGAAGGTAGCTAATATTTATTATTTAGATACACATTTACTATTAGTATTTTCGACAACCTATTTTATTCACATTTACAACAGTAAGTGGTTTATTACCACCATAATTTATTCTGCTGTACTCCTGTTCCAAGTTAATGTCGCATTAAGATTATATGTATAGGTAAAGTCATACAGAATTACAATTTGCTAGCAGAGAAATGTTTTTACCAGGTTTGCCTAGTTCATGAAAATCTGGTTAGACATGGATAAAAAAAAATATCTGTATATACATAAACATTATTTTAACATTAGCTTTTTGAAGCATATCTCTTAGGACTTGTTCCACACTTGTGTGTGTGTGTGTGTGTGTGTGTAACCTTGTGTTACAACATTCCCCCTGCTTACCATTGCTGAAAAAAAACAAAAAACACTGAAACACTTATTTTATTTTTTTTAATAAAGAATATTGCCAACATTTTATTAAAAGGGTTAACACAAGTTCATGATTGTCTTCCATCTTCCTTGTCCCATACCCAGGATATCTCTTAATTTAAACCCTTGTCCAGGGTTGAATTTGGGGGAGCAAATCATTGTTGTGTCTACTCTGGGGCTTCCCAGAATAAATTAAGTTTCTATTTAACTTAGTAATTGGAGTGTGGTATTCTGAGAGATTATTATTCTCTAGTTATCACTTTGTCATTAGATGATCATTTAATTTGTTCAAACGAAAACAGTTTTCTTTCCAGTGATTTTGCAGTGGTGCAGACAGCAGCAGCACCAGACTAGAAAGCTGTAAACGAAGGCCCTTTTTCTATTTTGTTATCCCCTCTTTCCCAACACCTGCCTATACACCAAATGTGTATTTTTTTTTTTTTTTAAAGTCTACCTTTTATTATAAAAAGCAATCCTTGATCTCCAGTCAAGTGACTTTGTCCTTGGCTAAGAGGATGTCATCAGTCTACTACAAGCAGAAAGAAGCATTTCTGCAGGACTTCCCTCCCTCAGTGATCAGAGTGCAAAATGTTTGTCCCTTTGTTGCACGTCACAGGGTAGACGACATCAGCTGGACCTGATCTGTGTCAGACGTTTAACACAGCCACCAGGATTTACATGTCTGTCATATCTCAGCTAGCATCTCAGTCCTGGAAGTAGATGCTGACCCTGGATAGAGCCTTAACAAATTAGCTCCATTCTTTTGGAGAAAAAAAGAGATGAAGGCATTGTCATGTGGAATACTGTTATTTCTGTGGGAGGTAATGATTATTTATAAGTGTTATACTCACACATTAGTTAGTATACATGCACTTAACATGAAAATGTAAATCTGATGCTAGCTACGCTTAAAAAAATAGCAAGACAAAGAAGGGGGATTGGAGGATCTAAACTCAGAACAAACTAAGGTAGTGGATAAGTCAGCCTGGTGGCGGAGCAGATTTTGTATTATCCTGTATTCACAATGTGGTATGCATGTTTTATCCTGTGCTTTACCATAACTTTTTTCACATAAAAGGAATTTTTACCATGAATTATTCAACTTTCTAACAGTTTAAATACACACACACAAAAGACTCACATTGCAATTGGAAGACCCATCACAAGCTGGATATGATCCATCAGCCCAATCTGCTGAGTCCTGGGGCCCTGGTGTCTTATTCTGTGACTCATACTCCTTCAGCTGAAAAGATGAAGACAATAACATAGTACTGCATAACAGCAATGGCACAACAGGCAAACTGCTGCTCGGAAGCATTAATCTTCCTTTTCATAGCCAGACATAGTATGGTTAAGGTGCACTGTTAAGAAGCAGGAAACAGCCATGGCAGAAACATGTACAAATTACATTTAATAGAGAAGAATAGAAAACTGATATGAGTTTGCCATGCATTTATAAGTAAAATGCCCACATCGTTATTGTAGTAAATATGGAGGAGATTAGCAACTGAACAACAAACATACAGGTTGCCAAAGAACAAGTGAACCTATGCCTATGTGTATGAGGTGATAGCCACCTAATTCTATTGTGAGAAGATTAGATGATATACAGCATGCTTATGAGCTCCCACAGATTTCAGCAGACACTCCCAGCAAACATATTGTAGGGGGAACCTGCTTTTAGACAAAAAATGTGCATGTCTTCTGTGCTCAAAGACATATCCTGGTAGTCTGCAAACCTAGGAATCAGATGAAATATCCCACCATTGTGACATTCTGTCCATGGGTAGTTTAAGTCATGCTGCGCCATATTTTAGTTATCTGGGCTTCTCAGAATACATTTATGGTTTTGCTAAACTCTTATAATGTAGAGTACAGAGCAGGGAGAAAAGATGGCCACACACGTTACATTCTTACAGTAAAATCTGTGTACAGTATTCTTTAGATTTACCAAAGCCTATATAGCACAAGGACTTGCCTACCTACCTAACAAATTTATATCCAATCAGGTAGGTCTTCACACTACAGAGCTTTGAAAAACAAAATATTATACAATCATATTTGTAATGTGTGACCAGCTTCAGATTTAATAGACACTTATGTAATGTAGGGCCTGCCTTATTGACCAGCTTTAGAATTAATAAACACAAATGTAGTAAAAAGGGCCTGCTTGATTGTATAAAAATTGAACCAAGAGTTAGGTAAAGGTTGTACAGAGATTGTGCAATCAGATACCATGCAATGGTGAAATATTACAACATAATAATTTTTAGACTAAACCAGTCAATGGGTCAAAATGCAAAAATTGTGTATTGTATATGAGAATATTCTGGATTTACAGGTATTTGTACAAAAGCTACAATTTACACATAAAACTATATTATAAATAGACTACACTACTGCCATATTGAAACTGTGGCTCACTGTATCGAAAAGCAGTAATTAGAGGTGACATTTGTGAGCAGAACCTATTGATCTTAGTAGTGTGTGTATCAGAAACAAAAGAATCATTCAGTATTCAGATAAATATAAAGGAGTTGATGTATGATGTTAACTTAAATTCAGAAAGCTGACATTATGATTACAAAAAGTAGGGGGAGGTTAAAAGAAATCCTTGGAGTATTAAAGATCTTGGTCGCCAGCTTAAAAACCAAGTCAAAAGAAAGAAAAATCAAGTAATATAATTACTTACTTGCAGTGTTTTTCCTTTCCATAAATTATTATTTTATTCACTTGCAATGTGCCTTTGAACTTTCTAGAAAATTTGACTACTTCAGCAAAAGTAAATTCCCTATTGCTGGAAGTGTCTAAATATTTTCTGTGGAGCCCTAGCTCCTTTGCCCCTCCCCTAACTTTGCATACATAAAAGGTTATCTAGGGGACACCTGACTGTCGGCTTAACACTGGAACTTCCATGGGCACTGAAATGTGCGCCATTTTTTAAAATAAAAGGTAAATAAAAGTAAAAAACAAACACCCTTCCAAAAAAATGCCCTGCCCTCCCAAAAAAGTTGCATGCATATACTAACCCAAACATGTCTTGCGGGGGACCTACATCTGAAAACAACGCTTACACCACACATAGTAGGTATCGCAGCACATGCCTCAATGTGGGAATAATTCCAGGGCCGTTATTTATGGGTAATTTGAACTGATGACCTATAAAAGCTTTTAAAGCATCACCAATAGGCAATTTTGGGTACCATTGTTTTGAGGCATTTCACGGGCGCACAATATTTTGAAGCTTGAAATGTTTGGTATGTTTACTCAGCTTGTATATTTAAAAAATAAATTGATAACATATTTTGTTTATGTGCACTAAAAATAACCAGTGTATTTTGGGTTAGATAAACACCTGCGCTAATATCATGTGACATGACAACTGCCACCATTTTATTATACAGGGTGTCTGCTTTCAGGAAATATATATCTTTGGGGGGTTTAAGAAATATTCCAGTGTAAAATGTGCATTTAACATGTGTGCAAAAACGGCTCTGGCAGAGAACATGTTGAACAATAACCTGGAAGTGCTCTGCATACACTTAAAGGAACACCATACTGAGAGAAGTATGAAGGCTGACATTACTTGCTTAATGTACTAGATGATTGGCTGTCTCTGATTTCATTATATACCAAAAATATACAAATTAATAAATAAATGTGCAACAGTGATTTTATTGTACGCAGGATAATTTATATGGCCAAAGCTGATCATTTTATGGTCAAGACAGGTTTAATTTTTTTAATGGTGAATAGTTGACAACCACCACTGTGGCAGACATATTGTAGACCATATGATAAAGAATGGCACCTCTGTGTCCAGGTATGACATTACTTTCACTTTGTTATTCTGGACAAGGAAGCTAATAGCAGGTAGCCCGTTGACTCTGCTCTTAGGAAGCACTTTTAGTTTTGTTTTTTAAGTAGAGTGAAGCACAGGTTCACGGTAAAGCCCAATTCCGGTTTAGGCATTAAACCTAAAAACAGCTCGGTAAAATAACAAAAGCTGCTTTGGCTGCTATACTCACCCGATCTCCAGACCTTTTCCCCCCACAGACTCCCCAACCAAGCAATGTAATGGTGCTCTTCTTTCAGGATGAATGATACCTAGCCTTATCCACCCACTCCAATGTGTGCAGAGTATCAAAACACAGCCCCTGCCCTGTACTCATAAAAGAATGCTGCAGAGAGCAGCATTAAGTCATTACATGGCATTGCTCTCTGCTACATTTAGGATGGGAAAAGAGTGAAAAAAATGATCTGTTATGTCATTGGACCGGACCCAGGGCTTTAAAGAAGGAGCGTTATACTCTGCAGGATATTGTTTTAAAGGGACTTACAGGACAATATTAACGTCTGAATGATTTAGATGACGATTTTTAAAGATCACGAACTAAAACTTAAAACTTTCTTAACCATAAATTATTTTTAACAAAGCTATTATCCTGTAAATTTAACTAAAAAATAATAATGTAGTAGGACCTAAAACATGCTATTCTTTTCAGCCCCTCTTGCATCACATTCCATCAGACAGTTATGGGAGAGTAGGGCAGCTGCATTAGTTCTCTACGCTGAAATGTATTTGCTGAACACATGATGTCTGAATGGAATGGAAAAATGGAAATCTGGAAAAAAAAATGCAGCACCATGTGCTTTCCCAAGGCGTTCGTGTGCAGCAAACCCTTTAGACAGAAAACAATAGTTCCCTATGTTCTTTCCATCCTTCTCTTCTCGCTGTCCAGAAATGTGACAGGTGAGGGAGAGTGTCACATTTAAAACAAAGTATTACCCATGGAAATTATCAAGATCAATCAGTAATTATTGAATGGATATTAAAAGAGATAGTAAGGTATTTGTGGCTGCCATATGACTAAAATATATGGCTCAGTTATAGAACAGCTGGATCTTTTAGTTAAGTTCATATTCATGACAAAATAAGTCAGATATATCCATATTCATGTATGGCAAAATATGTCAGATACACATCAGACTTTCATATGACTTTCACAAAACATAATATACATTATACTTCAAAACCTTTAAAGGCTTGATAAAAACAGGCTGCACTTTCTTTCACTCACATTAGCAAAGATTGTAACCACATGAATATCTGGTTAATTTAATAGAATCCTACCCTTGCAAGTGCTTCCTCAATGGTGATCATCTTTTCCTTTACCATCATCATCAGCTGAATTCGTTCTTCATCACTCATTGTGATCTCACTAGCCAGGTAACCTACATCCTCCCCTGTACAAAAAAGGAGCAGAAAAAAAAACTTGTAATATAGATCACATCTGGGTGCATAACAAAAGGGACACATTCTAGTCTGCACGGTCATATGCATAATGAGTAATCAGTTACAAAGTAATTTTAAGGGGATAATAGCAACGCACTCCTGACTACTAGTAAATGTAGCTTTACATTGTTCTACTGAATGTCCATCATGTGATAACACTCCAATAAAGCAAATGGCAACTGACACAGGATCCAGCAGCAATCCATCTCTAATTTGGCCTTTATTTAACTGGTTGAAGACCAGGTGTTTAGACCCCCTTCCTGGCCAGGCCATTTTTCAGTATTCAGCGCTGCGGTACTTTGACTGACTTTTATTCCGTCATGCAACGCTGTACTGAAATGAATTTTATACCATTTTTTGGGGACACATAGAGCTTTCTTTTGGTGGTATTTAATCACCAATATGGGTTTTATGTTTTACTATAATTAGGAAAAATTACTGAAAATCTTGAAAAAAAAAGTTTTTTTTAACATAATGTTAGGAAACATTTATTATTACCCAGTTTTTTGGTAAAATATAGAAGATCGGGTCACGTCGGGTAAATAGACACCAAACATGTCAAGCTTTAAAATTGTGCGCACCCGCGAAATCGCAGAAAACTACCATACCCAAAATTGGCCATAGGCGACGCTTTAAAAGCTTTTACCGCTCATCAGTTGGTGTTATCAGTGATTGATGGCCCTAGAACTATTGCTCTCACTCCGACGTTCGCGGCGATATGTAACATGTGCGGTGTAATGGGCGCAATCGTCTTTTTTGCACATATGCGCCCCCGACGCATGTTTGCATGTGTGTATGTATGGGTGGGGACTTTAAAAAATTTTTTTGTTTCTTTATTCTTTGTTATGTGTAACTTTAAAAAAAAATTTTGGGGGGGGACTTTATTTTTTCCCTACTAAACTTTATTGCTATCACATAAGGGGTCTATTCATAACCAATGGGATTCCTTGTTTTCCAAAAGGTGAAATAATCAGCGTGCTTCTATCAGCACGTGCTAATTGCCAAAGCTATATCACTACCTGTAAAGCTTAACAGCATGCATAGATAACATTGTTGCCATTAGGTAAATCAGTAAACGCCATTATTATTATTATGCCAGTGTGTTTGCATGCATGTTTGATGCATTTGCGAGCAGGTAAAATAGGGCTTGCTGCAGTTTTTCCACATGCTCTGGAACTGAACACTGCGGTGTGAACTAGAGCCCAAAATACCATTGGAATACATTGGACGCAGTTTTGTAACGGCTCTGTAACTGCTCTGCACCTGCTCCGCGCTTGGTGTGAACTAGCCCTCAAACATTTTAGTGGGGCTGTTTGTCCGTATACACAGATGGCTATATACAGCACTGTTGAGGAGTAGGGCAATTGAAGTGCAATTCTGTACGGGATGAAAAATACTGCCTGTTTTAAAGAAAGTAGAAGTTTTGAAGGAACATCTCTAGCAAGTAAATAGGACATTATTTCATTGTGTGGATGCACAGGATTGTACTCAGAGGGCCTTCTGGGACACTGTACAGAATAAAGAGCTGAATTGTTTCATTCTCCCCCATCTGTTATGTCTTTCAGAACTGCATCACCAAACTTGTCTAAATTTCAGTATAATCTCACATATTAGAAATCATAAAGAGAGTTCTCTGTCATGTTTCAACTAGCCTAAAGCAAAGCATGTACCCCATGCATATGCCTTTATGAGAACCATGAATACATTTCTACATAGACATGCAATTTTGTGATCACAAGATATGGTCAGACTGTAGTAAAGCATCTCATGCTGTGACATTTCAGTTAGCAACAGAAGAAGACATACAAAGAGTCAGTGTTATTTTTTGAACAGGTACACAGATCAGTTCTTCCTTGGTCACTGACAATAAGATATTATTGAAGCAAGGAACAGCCAGGCAACTAGAATTTTTGGAAGTCAGCAATAGCAGCCCCCATGCCGCTCTTAGTTCTGGTGGCATAATTGCTTGTTAACAAATCTTTTGGTAGATTTTCTCCTATTTTTGCCTGTCTTTTACCATTTCCTTTTTTACCCTGCACTGCAACATTGAAACTCTGTCGATCAAACATTTACAGACTGTGTTAAATGGCAATTCCAGCTTTTGAAACAAAAAAATGCACATTTCTTTTATTATTATTTTTTGAATTGGATCCAGTAAAGCTTGCAGCCACGATCAGTAGATTGCAGGTGCAATGCTCTGTCTCCTGCATACCCATCCCCCTGTCCATGTCTGTACCAAGGTACGGAAAGTCAGTAACATTAACGGGAGGAAGTGCAAATGGACTACAAGTGCAATGATGACACCACACTTATAGTCCATTGAGAACTGCAAGTCCCTCTGCCACGGTGGCTAGCAGGACATGTAGTTTCTACATTCACAGATCCTGTCAAAGGATCTGTGAATAGATGATGCGGATGTGTTGAAACAGCCTTGAACAGCTGTGTGGAATCAAGTTTGTAAACCAGCCTGCAGTGAGAAGAACCCCACGATTGAGCAAGTAAACTTAACCTTAATGGGGAATATTTATGTGTAAAGTGGGACAATGTGTAGAAAAATAGTAAAGCAAAACCAATATTTTGTTTATCTATGTAAAACTTTATGTCTCCGCATAATCTTGCTACATTTCAACAAAGCAACAGATATTTACAAAGCGACCATCACAGTTGCTTTTGGGAGACCGTTCAAGGAGAATTATGCGGTGATTGAAAAACAGGCAGATGCAGCTGTCAATCAGCCTGCGGGGTGGAGCTTGATAATATTGTTGGGATCTGTCCCGACTGCGGCGCGGCCCTGCGCTCTTAACATATACAGCTCGAACACAAGACAAGGCAATTTGACTTGTCGTGGGTGGGCACAGGTCACACCACCATGCTTTAAAAATTATAATTTTTTTGTGTGAAATATCAATCAAGTCGAAACAAAAAACAAAACAAAACAGTACGATGCAGCTTGATTGAGCGCAACGGCAATGTCTGGGCACACGCACACCAGCAGCACTTTTACATAAGTGGTTAGGTGGGTTGATGGGGGGAGGGCAGGGCAGAGAGGTAACAATGGGTGCAGATTTTAATTGGAATGTAGAAGTGGGGAAGGAATTCAGTGATGACATGAGTGTGCATAATGGTTTTACCTGGTATTGCAGCTAGACAGGGATATAGGGAGATGCAGAAGAGGTGCAGAGGTGAAAAGTGGGAACACTGGGGGAAGAAAGCAAGAAGGTTGGAGAATAGATAATGAAATGCAGAGGAAAAGGAGAAAGTCAAAAAAGTGCAGAATGTTATGGCAGGAAAGGAACAGAGCTTAAGCTGGCCATACACCTTAAAGTCCATTCCTGGGGAAATAAGAAAAACCTCCCCTTGCTGTGGGGCTAACCCCACACTGCAAGAGTTCACTGCTTCTTTTAGTCTAGGTGACTGGTGTAAAGGACTTTTATTCCACTATATTGCTGGCACCAAGAGTGGTGCCTGCAGCCTCTTCTCCCCTCTGCCGGTCAAAGACCCGCTGACATCATCTTGTACAATGCAGGGTCCAGAGCCCTGCATTATACGTGAGGACACTGAAGGACAGTCCACAAGCTGGAGCAAAGGGGAGAACGGTGAGTGCCATTGGAGCAGGAGTCAGTTAAGTAAAACTGCTTTACACTGCTACTCTAGACCGAAACAAGCAGTTAAACCTCTTCGAGATCACTTCACTACTGTTGGATGAGAAACACCAAGAGAATACTCACACAGGTCCAGCACTTTCTTTCCACACTTCCAAATATCTATACCCACAAGAGTCAGATCTTGAACAGTGATTGCAGTCACTGTTTGGCAAACAATTGAAAAATCTACTTTTGTCAAGCCAGGTGAATTTCGATCCGTGTATGGCTGGCATTAGCCAACACCAGACAGTCTAATGATAGTAGCTGGTCTGGTAATACATTTTGTAAGCAGAGATATGGCACATATCAGCTCTGGCAATATAACACTTTCCTACAACATGGAATCTACAGCACCTTTTGTAGATACCTTTTGTACAGCATAAGTGACAAAATGGCTTGGACATGACATTCAATCTGCATCCTAAAAACGGCAGTAGTAAAATAGATCTGGTGGCATTACATTTTTTTTTTTCAATCAATAATTTTTTTTTTTAGTTTGTTGTTTTTTTGTTTTGCGTATACAACATCATACAAACATATCAAAGACATTCGTTTACACTTGATGGTTTGACATGAATCACGGTAAACCTCAGTTCTTCCCATACAACCAATATGACCATGGAGGCACTATACTGAGATATAGAGGTTAACAGTTAATAAACCATTGCTGTCTCATTGATAAAAACCCAGTGAATTCTACGTTCTAGTTCTGCAAAAGGCACAGTGGCGGATTTCCATGACTTCGCCACTACCTGTTTTGCCGCTGTGAGGCCGTGGAGTAGGAATTTGTGCTGTTTTGGTGTGGCATTTTCAGGGGGTATGTTGAGAAGAGCCACTTTTGGGTCAGGCGTCAGTGTAAGGGCCGTGACTGTTGACAAAAAGGCAAAAACTCTATTCCAGAAGTTCCACACAACAGGGCAGTGCCACCATACATGCATGTAGGAACCCACCTCTCCGTAGCCTCGGAAGCATTGCCCGTCGTGACCTGGACAAACGATCTGAGCCTACTGGGTACCAAGTACCACCGATATAGAAGCTTGTAGTTAGTTTCCAGGGCCTGCGTGCTCTGAGAGCTAGATTTGGTCACTTCCCAGATGGTGTTCCAGCTGTCCTCATCTATGGGACTACCAAGGTCCTTTTCCCAGGCTAGCATGTAGTTATGGCTGGGTGATACTATCCCCAACATTACCTGGGCATAGAGTTGGGAGACTAGACCTGGTGTGGAGGGGTCATCTAAGCAGACCCGTTCAAACGTGGTGTACAGTGGCCCTGTAGGGAACGTTGGGACTTGTGCAGAGATAAAATGCTTGACCTGCAGGTAACGGAACAGTTCGCTGGCCGGCAGCTTAAATGATTCTTGCAGTTGTTGGAACGTTTTTGGACCCGCAGCAGTGTACAGTTTGTGCATCTCCAGAAACCCAATGTCGGAATGCGAGTGGGGAATCACAGCCAGGGGGGAAGGCGGGGTTTCGCAAAAATGACAGGAGGGGATGGTGTGAGGACTGGAGGTGACTAGAGTATTTATGCGCGTCCCAAAGGCGTAAGGAATGTCGCATGATTGGGTTCTGTATCCCCTGTCTATCTTTGGGCAGTAACTAAAGGAGGTTGTCTATCGTCAGGGGGTCACTGTCGACCGCTTCCAGGGAGACCCATAAAGGGGGATCTGCTGTTGCATGGTACTTTGGAAGCACCACTAACTGGGCCGCCGTGTAGTAAGCTGATACGTGAGGAACTCCGCTGAGTTTCTGTGAAAAGAGTGTGGTGCGCGATATATTCTTGCCAGATAAACTGGAAAATTTTGCGCTGCAGTATCCTGAGTCTATGGCGTGGGACAGGAATCGGGAGGACCCTAAAAAAGTAGAGCAGTTTTGGCATGTACGTCATCTTAATGGCAGATATCCTCCCCAGCCATGACAAAGTATAGTGCGACCAGGCTCTGAGCAATTGGGTGAGGCCTGAGAATAGAGCAGGGTAATTCGCCTCAAATAGAGATTCATAGGTGGCGGTTAGGCGAATGCCTAGGTAGCGTAAGGCTTGGGGTTCCCACACGAAGGGGAAAGTGGTGCGTAGGGCGTCTACAGCTGAGGTTGGCAGTGTTATGTTGAGGGCTTTGGATTTATGGGGATTAACTTTCAGGCCAAAGGTGGCATTACATTTTGCTGAAGTGACATATGTCTAAAATTTCAAGTTTTGGTATATTAGAAATTGGCTAAGGCTAGTATTATTGTCATCAACTATGTCAACTATAACAATAAACCTGGAAAATACACTCAGAACCTACGGATAACAAATTAAGTTGGCTGTAACACTCACCCTTAAATCTAGAGAAGGGTACAGAGCCTCAAAAGGTAACCTGGACAACAAAACTGTTGATGCAAGCCACATTTAAAGGGTTCCTGGGACATACCTTTTATGCCTGCTATAAGCCCCATATTGGGTAAATCCATTTCATAAGCAAAAATCAACATTACATATACATTTCAGAAACTATGAGAGCATTTAGACTATTTATATAATGACAATACTACAATAAAAAGGTCAATTAAAGATTAAGATTAAAGTTAATCTCAAGAGAGAGGTTTCCAAGAAATGTAACCCTTTTTTTAAAATTAAAAATGCATTCTATCTGAGAAGTTACATAACAGTTTTCTTATTAGAGTTTGTGACTCTACATCTTATGGAAGTGACAAAATGCTGAGGTTAATAACAGTACTTTTCTAGCACAGCTATGAACACAAATGTCATAAACAGTAAGAGTTAATGTGACTACTATTACCTTTTGAAGTCTGTCTCATAATTCCTTTTTGGCTTTTTCTGAAATTTTGCCAGAAATATTTATTTTTCTTCTTCCAGTCAATTTTTCCTATTATTCAAGGAAAAAAGAAAGGCACAATAAATACATTCTAATGTTTGCTAATTAGCATAGGGCTGCAAATACAAAACTGTTTGTTCTAGTAAGCAATCTAAGTTGCTGCAAGGTATTTGAACCATGCAACATTAAATTGTTGGTAGGTTTTGTCTGTAAATGATTTTCTGACACCATCATGGCAGCATACAAATGGGTATAGCTCCGCCCCATCACAGGACCGATCATGCTATAAATCAAACATGCCTCCCCTGTGCAGGAGATAGGGTACGTACAGCAGTCGTTGCCACTTTTTTTTTCATCTACTGCTGGGGGATCCACTTTTAACTAAACTGTCCAAAGTGGAATTGGGCTTTAAGCAACAGAGCGCAACTCCCCAACTGGATAAAGAAGAGGCACTAGCAAACTGAGGATGACACTGTCCTCTCCCCAATATGCAGGGTTCTTGTCAGCACATAGATATATGTAGTCCTGACCCTCCTTCTCCCAGTCTGAAAGCTGCTGTACAGCCAGTTACAAGAAGCTGATATTAAGACTGATTCAGCTAGTCAAACATGGTATCCGAGAATAATATGAATATCTACATATAGACCACTTTTGAAGTAAAAGTTTGTTTAAAATCTTTATAATAAATTGGCAAATCTAGCTGCCTGTGTTCACTTAAATTAAATTAGAAAGTGTGAAGAATGGTTATTATGTGTTTGTACATTGTTCCTTGTTGGGCAGAATAAGCCTGATTAGTATTTATTGCATTCAATCATATAGTACAATAGACCATTCATGCTGATTTAGTATGCCCTCATAAAAAAATAAAAAAACAAACAAAAACAAAACTGCAAATGGGAAAAAAAGACTATTCACTTACCTACAGAGCTGTCTTCAGAGCTGGATTTATGAAGGGAGAATCTGAAAAAAAGAAAAAAAAGAGGATTCTTAGAGTGTTGTTCTTAGAGTGTTACATTGTATATGTACACTGTATTTTTACAACATTACTGCAGTTTTGAGCTTATTCTTTAAAAATGATAAAAAAATACCTGTTGTGTTGTTTGTAACTTCCTCTGTTTAACAGCAGAGAGCACCAAAGAGCTTTTTTTATGCTCAGTACATTTTCAATTAACCTGATTCCTGCCATAACGATGCAGGCATTTAATGATTATTAGAATATTTGAACACAGAATGAATATTCACTGCAAGAAAGGATAATTGTATTCTAGTACACAGCAGAAGCTCAGAAATATAGTAATTTCAGAAAATGTGTAGATAGTATGATCCACCTAAAGTGTCCATATTCTAAGTCTGTACCATCCTGATGTTTGGTTTACATATTATGGATACTGATGCAGCAACTCATGTTGTGACTGATAAAGCCTAGTTGTTGCAGGAAGGCAGGCTTTGTATAGGGTAGCTTGCAAAAATTTGCAGCCCTAAAGAAATCTTAACTTCTCAGTTCTCAGCTGGAAACTAGGAGCATGCACCAGTGACCTTTTAGGTCAGGCAGTTTTAAAACCGAGGTTCCTGCAAAATGGGTTCTGTGCACAGTATCACACAATACTTGAAGTATTTCTAAGCCAGTATCATTTACAGGAGTACAGCTGACCTTTAACATACCCATTTAAATATTCACAACATAAAGCGAGTAAAGCCATGTCCAGGTGTACACGGTGAAAAAGCACATGTGTGAACTTTGTAAATTAATGACCTTCTTAGCTTATCACTGTGGTACCAGATGCTTCATTCTCATACAATAAGCACTTCCTCCTCAGGAGACCCAATCTGTAATAATTACTGGCAAGCCTGCTTTCCTCTGCACACTAAGCAGCTGACAGATAAGCAGCTTGGAGACGGTAACTGCCCTTGTTTTTAGTTCTGAAAAGGTTAATTCCCACCAGGATGACACTTCGGAAACAGTTTACTTACCATCTCCCTAATTTAAATGGTCAGCTCACCTAAATTTAAATCTCAGATTTCCATAAATGCTACCACCTTCTTTTATCGTTATAAAATCTAGCTGAAAAATCTATGCTTGTGAGCACATAGGTTGGCCCATTTGCACAGTCATAGAACGGAATGCAGCAAGATACAGTGTTCAGAGTGACTAACTCAGTGAGGAGAGGACTCAATGGCAGCAATGACCAGAGAAGAAGTCAGTAGGCAATTCAAAAGCAAACTGACTCAAAACCTCTAAATAGCATTTAATAGACCAATTCTGTCATAGTATATGTTGCTTTTATCCCATGCTTCTGCGAGGAGTAGAATCTGAGATACAGACTTTGACAGTTCACTTACCATGCGCTGCAGGGACATTGAGATTAGAGCTGTCAATCAGTTGTCCGTCTCCTTTGCAAATCCTATTTGTGAATGAAGAGGAGTGAACTGTCAAAGTCTGTATCTCAGTTCCTACTCCACACAGAAGCATGGGAAACAAATAGGGATGCACCGATAACGATACTGGATATTTTCATGATTACTCGTGAAAATGCCCCTTATACTAAAAGCCTATACTAGTGCGTTAAATGTTTAAACTAAAGCGGCTGCCTGAGGTCCCGCTTGGTGGGGACCTCAGCAGCCTTCCTGCTAACCGTGCGGCGCCTGTTTTGTGCAGCATGGCGCAGCTGCAGCATTTGGCCGCCCTGCTCCCACAGCCTGCGCATTGTGTGTGCCCGCAATATCCTAGTGCACACCCTGGACTCTGAGTTCCCGCAATGACGGCATGCCTCGGGTCTCTCGTCCTCCGACTCTGACTACATAGACATGGGCAGCATTACAGACATGTATTTGTCATCACCTATTAAAATATAGTTCACCCTGCGGTTCTTCCTATTTGCAGCCAGACAGGTTATCGCAGGACATTGGAAGTCCACCCAGGTGCCTCCCTTATTGATGTGGTTGAATAGCCTGAATGATACTATGCACATGGAAGAAATGGTCGCTATAGATGCTGACCGTATGGAATCCTTCCGAAACCTATGGTTGCCCTGGATTTGCTTCCAAGACTCCGCTGCTTTTCCTGCCTTATTGGCCTCAGCACCATAGCTAGGATGTGTCATAATGTTATTGTTCTGCTATACTCGCATGTTGTGGCCCTGGCTTCATCTTCTGTGGCCAATAGGGACTGATATCTGACCCCGCGGGTCCATTACCCTTACTCACCTCCCCCCAATGTCTATGTTGTAATGTGTCGTCCTGTTTTGTCTTGTCCCACGTCTACAGGTTTGTCTCCCCCCCCCTCTATGTTTATCTAGGTATACAGAGCCATGAAGGGCTGCTCAGTTACGCACTCTCAATTGATATATGCCGCTTAGGCTCTCCAAATATATGTTGTGAGCAGTACCCATTGCCATGATACTACTGGAATGTACTGGGTCCTGTGGACCAAATTGCTTGTATACCTGTATATCCCTCGCATATATGCTTTCTGTGTTATGTTTTTTCTCCTGACTGGAATTAATAAACTTGATTTGATCAAAATATAGTTCACAATCACTAATCTGAGACTTTAGTTTTTCCCTTACTATATATAGTAGGATAACCAGATCATATTTATATAGGATCTTTGTAGATTCTGTATCTGGCAGATTCTGAGCAGGTGAGATGACCAACAGACGTCTGCACTCCAACATATTCCCTGTCAGCAAAACTCACAGTACAGCGAGGCTGACAGTGGCTGTGGCTCGTTTAGGGGGTTCGCCAGCATGCCTACTGCCCCTGCCAAAAGTCCCCCAATGGGGTCCGGGTCTTCCACCCAGCCTTGCCCCCTCCGCACCAGCCCCTTCACCAATTCCCCAGGGCACTGCTGCCCTTACCCGCTTCCTGCATCCCGTGCCTGACCTGCCTGCAGTGCCATCGCTCCCTGCTGCTGGATGAGAGAGGGCTGTGGGGCTTTGTCAAGAACTGGGTGCTGGAGGGTGTCACCGAGTCGGAGGCTGATTGCATGCACCGACCACAAGTTGAAGTACCGCAGCATGTACTGCGTCCAGTGCAAGATGCCAGTCTGCTACCAGTGCCTGAAGGAGGGAAAGCACAGCAGCCATGAAGTCATGGTGCTGTGGAAGCTGCACAAGGTGGGAGGGGGTGCATTGGGGGTGGGGTGTGATCAGCTGCCAGTTTCTGCCTACTGCAGGAAGGGTACCACTGGGAATACTCTGCTACTGTCTTAAGGGTCATACTGTATTTCTGTAAATATAACATAGTAGTCCATCCAGTTCAACCTCCAGTATGTGTGTGTGTGTATGTGTGTCTGTATTTATGTGTATTTAACACATCCATATCCTTGTATATTTAGTGACTGCAGAAACAAATCTAGAAGTTTCTTGAACTTATCTACACTATCAGCGGATACACTGCCTGTGGAAAGGAATTTCACATTTTTACTACAAGCACAGTAAAAAAAAAAACTTGCGTGTTCCAAGCTTGAACCCGCTCTCTTCTAACCTCTTGTTGTATCCACATGTTCTCAGTACTGTTCTAGGTGAAAACAACTTGTTTCGAATATTGTGGTCTCCATTGATATTTTTGAAGACTGCAGTATTAAGATTAAGTTCAGTTGTTGGAAGCGGTCTTCATAGCTCAGGCCTTCTATCCCTTTAATTCGTTTTGTGGCCCTTTTTTTAACTCTCTCAAGCACGAGGACATGCTTCCTGAGAGTTGGTGACCAAAATTGCACCACGTACTCAAGATCAGGCAGAACCAGTGCTTTATAAAGTGTCCCTATTTTAATGCAGGACAGTATCAAGTTTGCTTTGTTGACCGCAGCTTGGCATTGCACACTATTGCCAAATCTGTGATCTATGAGCACCCCCAGGTCCCTTTCCATGTCGGTCTTCCTTAATGCAGGCCCCCCCAGATAGTAGTTTGTGCACTCGTTCTTTGCACCCATGTGCGTAACTTTATATTTTTCAACATTAAATCATATATGCCAATGTCTAGCCCATGCTTCTATTTTTTCAGAACATGATATCTCTCTTTTTTTTTTTTAACAAGGAATTCAGTTCACATTTTGGGGCAATTTTACATTACAGAATTAACACTAGTCTATGTTGTGAGACATCTGTAGTCCTATAAGCAGAGAAGTAGAAAACAAAAAAAATGGCTAATGTAATCTCTGAACTGATACCACTGTGCACCAATGTGCACCAATGTGCAACACGCTCAGCCTTATTGCTATAAAACATACCTGTACAGCAGATAACCTTAATGTTTTATTGGGCAAAATTTGCAAAATGGGTTTAATAAACAAACAGGAATGTTGTATACAAAAAGTTGCTACAGTAAACTGCCCCACAGTTTGATTAACTTATGTAAGAGAGATTGCTATCGCAAAAAGCTATGCATTATTTTTTTTAGATAAGCATGACACATTCAAATACCAGATGTTACTGGTCACATGTGCAGTACAACCACTATATCACATTTTAACCTCTTCTACATGCAATAAAAACCCAAATCCAAAGAGAAACTGAGTTTTCAAATACAGCAGAGAAAGTTAAATGAGATATCAGACATTTGATAGCTTATTTTGTTTAAAACAAATAACCATACATTGCATTCTTCACTGTGACCCTCAGGAGCAGTCTCAGGGCAGCAATTACATTAAAATGAAGGTTATTTATATGCTGATTACAATTCCCCAATAATGATGAAGTGAAGCTTGGCAAGAAATGTGGCTATATTTTGACATGCAGCCAAATGCTGCCACTCTACTAGATGGCTTTAGGGTATGTTGTCTATTGACATACAACTTTATTAGCAGGTTCCCACAGACACTCTAAAATGACAGGTCCCTAACATGCCAGAAGAGAAAAACACATTTGACTGAAGGTCCGCAATAACTTTTCCATGACAAAGTGTACTGACCAGATACCAGATATACGTTAACATATTTAGTGGGCAATGCAGGGATTAAAAAC